AACAATGCAGCAATTGATATAGTTTATTTATAGTTATTTTCAAAGCTTCAATGTACTGTCATTATAAAATAACTTAATTATTGTTTATTTAATTCTAACAAATAAGTTCTTGTTAAAAACTAACCAAAAGTAAAAAATAATTTGCGTATAATTTCCACACAGGAGAGACTTGGTGTTTCCAAACAAAAGGAAATATATCGGCATCGGCTATCGGCCAAAATGAGCTGAAAAATATCGGCATATCGGATATCGGCAAAAATCCAATATCGTGCATCCCTAATTCTGAACCCTTGACTTTCTTCCATTGTTTTTTTTTCAATGCAATTGTAATAAATTGGGATGGAAGCTTTCAAGCTTCAATAAGAATGCAAAGGTACCATCCCTGATAGCACACGGACATCACAGAGATGTCTATTTGACTTCTGCATTTACATCTGCAAGACCTATTTTTTAGAGTGTTTGCTCATCTGCAATACGTCTATAGGACGTTTCCTATTAGATGTCAAATACAATTTTAGAAAATGTCTTTAAGATGTTCATGATTTAGAATGTATGTAAAACTGACATCTTAAAGACATCTATCAGATGTTTGTACACAGCAGATGCTTTCCAGATGAAGCGATCTTTAACAGACATCTTGCAGACGTGCTATCTGGGATCAAAGTCACCCATATGACTTTTAAGTACTGCGACCGAATCACGAGTTGAACTCGAGAACTGGATCACTGGATCACTGGATTCATAAACGAATCATCCAGACTACTTTTTTGAACCAGACAAAACTATTAGTTGACGAATTAAAACAGGCCAATGTCTACATTTTCAGTGAATAATGACTTGGGTGCCATTTTTGCATTTAAAAACGCAGGACGCAGTGTATTGGAGTAGAGGAAAAATGCAAGATCTATTTTTAAACTTTAAACTTCAACTTGAGCGCCACGTTTTTAGAACGCTATCATGCGCTAAACTGCAGTCGATGAGAAGCGTGATTGACAAGAAGCCCATCAAGTCTGTGTAGCGCATGTTTACATAGAAAAAAATTAAAATAAATAGAGAAGCAGCATAGTGGAATGCAAAGTTCATTCTGTTTCTTACAAAACGCTAGACTTTAGAAGACTTGTAATGTAGTTTATTATACTTTGGTTCTTTTTTGTTATTTTGCAGCTTCCTAGCAAACAAAATGTTTGTTTGCTAGAAAGCTGCAAAATAACAAAAACGATTTGCTAACATTCTCATTAAGTTACGAAAACGTTCTCTGAACAATGAAAAAAAAGCCTTTTTTTTTTTAACAATGGAACATTCCATTTTATCAATTTGCTAATATTATCTGAACGCTACCTTTGATTATTCTCTGAACGTTCTTAAGAAATACCATTTAAAAAAAAAAGTTAGACAAGATGTTTCAGGAAAAATAAACGTTCCATGAACAATGTATAAATAACGTTTATGTGATAAAGTTTACATTCTATTAACATTGCTGAAAGAACAATAGCCAAAGTTCTGAGAATGTTCCCAGGAAGCTGGGTGTCATCCCCAGGCCTCATACACTATATTGAAAATAGAGGCCAGAATATTCTTAAAAATTATAATAATAATAAAAATAAAAATGTTGTGTTCCATTGACAAAAGAAAGCCAAAAAGGTTTGGAACATCTTGAGAGACTAAAGGGTTAGTTCACCCAAAAATGAAAATTAGCCCATAAATTACTCACCCTTAAGTCATCCTAGGTGTATATGACTTTCTTCTTTCAGACGAATCCAGTCGGAGTTATATTAAATATTGTCTTTGATCTTTCAAGCTGTTTCATGGAACTCAACGGGTGTTGAATTCCTTCAGTCCAAAAGAAGTTAAATAAAAAGCGCCCTTCCATAAAAAAAAAAAGTGTCTCACATGGCTCAGGGTGGGTGAACAAAGGCCTCCTGTAGCAAATCGATGCGTTTTTTTAAGAAAAATATCCATAATTAAAACGTAATAATCACTTTAATGTAGCTTGCACCAACAGTTGTACACGGAAGCAGCTCCAGGCGGATGACGGATGAGTTTAGCATTGCGCATGCGCCGGTGAGTCTGGTGAAAACCAATCATCCGCACGGAACTGCTTCCGTGTACAACTGTTGGCGCAAGCTACATTAAAGTGATTATTACGTTTTGAATATGGATATTTTTCTTACAAAAATGCATCGATTCGCTACAGGAGGCCTTTGTTCACCCCCCGGAGCCGTGTGAGACACTTTTTTTTTATGGATGGGTGCTTTTCATTTAACTTCTTTTGGACTGATGCATGCAACACCCGCTGAGTGGCATTGAACAGCTTGAAAGATCAAAGATAATTTTTAATATAACTCCGACAGGATTCGTCTGAAAGAAGAAAGTCATATACACCTAGGATGACTTGAGGGTCATTTATGGGCTAATTTTTGGGTGAACTAACCCTTTAATGACAGAATTTTCCATTTCGAGTGAACTATCCATTTAAAACTGCAGGAGCTGTAGGTTTCCTTCAAGGTTAGTCTATCCTGAACTTCACAGCTGGAATATGCCTCAATGCTACAAACCTCGGACTAAAGAGCAAAATTGTCAAACCGACACATAATAGGAAGTGATTAAAGGAAAAAATTGAGTAATATACGGAGATCGGTTGGAGATATATTTAATATATGGAGAACCATGGAGTCTGTTGACATTTGGGTCATAATTACGCTATGCTAATTAAATCTGCTGAGTATCAGAGAGCCGTTTAATAATTCAAACCCAGTGCAACCTCTAATACCAATGCCAATTTCCCAAAGTAAAGAGGGTGGAATGATCATACTTGTCTCTTCTAAATATTTAATTCTCCTTGGGAAATCATTTTGACCTACAAAGACTAAGGAAGGGCAAGACAATGCTACTATTTTTGTCCTTACAGTGGAGAAACTGCTCTGAATCAGACTGGGCATGTGGAAATACGATCTGTCACAGTACAACTGATGACTCCTATTTCCTGTCCACAATTGTGTACAATTATAATAGCTGTTGAAGAAAAACATCAGTTATCAAGTCAAACAATTCTAGTAGTTTTTTGTGCCTTGTTGATCTCTGAACTGACCTGTATTAGGCCTACAGCTTGTTCTATGGCAGTATTTTCTCAAAGCAGAGAGAAACAGCAGTTCTTTTCTCCAGGCATGAATAGTATTAAAGGCTACGTGGTGAGTTACAGATGGCCTTGCAACAACACAATGAGCAGAGTGGGCTTGGATTGTTCAAGGGAGCTTTGACATCCAGAATATTCACAACACAATAACAAGATCCCAACGTTTTAGGAAAAAGCCTGAGCTTTGGAGCAGGCTGGTTAAGTTCAATTAGCACATTTAAAAGCACATTTTTTTATTCAGAAATTTAAATTAGCAAATGTTCCAATATGGTTTGGAGCAGAAGTAACTACAGTGGTGGCCAACAATTTTGGCAGTCTTGCACTTTAAGTGGCTAATTATTTTTGCAAAAAATGTTGAACTTTATAAAATATATAGTCTTCAGCCAATATTTCAATGTAAAAAAAAAAAAAACTTCACTTTTTAGTTTTAATTTAGAAGGCTTTTAAACCAGTAAATGAAAGAAAATGCCCTAATATAGGGTGCATATTAGGGGCCACGTCAGTACATAGCTTAATACAAGTATAAAATTAAACTCTAATCTGAATTAAAATTAAAATTAAAGAAAAAAAAATTCAAAATCAAGAAATCATTTTCCCCCACAATAATTGTTTTACTGAGGAAAATGCAGTTATTGAAACCTCTGGAATCACATAATGAATCATGGTTAATGATTTGCTAATATAAGGTAAAGATTGTTTACATTTTACCTTATTTGTATAGTTGTATTTTATATTTAATCTGTATCTATCTGTATTTATGTTCTACTGTTAGTGTTATCTGTATGCACCAAGGGTCTGAGAGTAACGCAATTTCAATTCTCTGTGTGTATGTGCTGTACATGTGGAAGAATTGACAATAAAGCAGACTTGACTTGACTTGACTTAATTTAATATATCAATATTCCCTGCAGCTTCTGTTAATAAAGTATGAAAACAGGCAGCTTTGTCATAATTATAGCAAAAATGCCAGCAATTATTCACCTATAGAGACACATTTTCAGTTACTTTTCTATGTTCGGTTTTGTGCGCTATGAAATTTGGTGGAAACAGCCTTATCACACTGTACTACATTGCAAAATCCAAAATATTGAGATTTTATGATGCTAAGCAGCCAATCCTAGAGGCAACACAACCACAAAAACGTTGAATCTCCTTCATGTTCAACTATAGGAATGGTATTGTACTCTGTAAAAGCTTTCTTTCTATATAAAAGATTGCATGCTTAACAAAAAAGAAACTCTCCCAGAGGGATTCTAGCATGGCACTGTTACTATATTTATACCAGTTCACAAAAAGGGTGCAAGCTGCAACTTTTGTACCTTGCATCTTAGCTCAAATCGGTGCCAGTTGATTGTCCTTTCTCCACCAGACTTCAACACACAATCAGTCGCATGTTGAAAGGCTGAATACTGTAAGCACCTCTTCTCCATTGTATTACATGCAACTTAAAACGGGGTCCAATCTGTTGCCCAAACACCCTGCTTTCTGAGAAAGATTATGGGGACATGAAAATGGCACACTGATGTCCAGGTTGGATATGCAAAAACGAAAGTGGATAAGCATGAGAAAATATAGAAGAAATAAGACAACAGGATGAGAAAATTACAGATTATCACTGCAAATAAAGTCAAAGATTACATCGTTTTCATGTTTTACTACCAGGGTGTATTTTTATACCAAGTGAAGTGAGTTTTTCTACACCCTGGAAAGAGTGCATCAGAGAAAAAGAGCTAAGTGAGATACAGAGGACAGTACAGGAAGAGGAAGAGACAGCAGAGAGGCAGAGGTGAATGCAGAGCGAGAAGAGTTTATTCAGCATGCTACAGAATAAAAGCACTACACCACACAGGGACCGTCAAGCAAGAGCTTGGTAGAAAAAAGAACTTTTAATTGTGCCGCTTCTATACTGAACTTTACATTCCTAAAGATGTAAAAACTTAATTCATGTAGAAAATGTACAGAACACCCCCCTTCCCCTTGTTTCCCAGGCCGAGACCACAAAAATGTCCATTTTCAGTAGAATCAGTAAGCGATTCTCGTACAACCACGAACAAGGACAATTAATGATCATTTATATGAGTGATGCCTGTTGGAAAGTCCGATTTTTTATTATTTTTTTTTTGTCTCCATTGATACAAATATTCCAGAGGTTGAATAAAACATTTTGTACAATGCAGAATAAAGTAAGACTAAAGGCACATTTACTTTGGTCCCAACAGTCCCTACATTAATGTGACATCACAACATCAAACATGGTCAATCTGACACATGCAACTGCCGAGATCCATCAGCACATGCTCTGATTTTCATCTAAAAAAAAAAAAAATGGGTAACAGAATTCACTGAAGCAAAAGTGAGTGAAAAATATCCAAGCAGGTACTATATGTCACAGATTGTGCTCCCCACTGTCAGAGTTTTGTTTACCACAGGTTTCAATTACAAAAAGTACCTTGGGTGCCTGATCAAAGAAGAAAAAAAAAAACACTACAGCCCGAAAATAAAACAAATTCACGAGATAATTTACAACTTGGAGTATGTTTCATCAAATCCTGTTACTTGTGTTCAGATTCAATTCAATAGATCATAAAAATGAGCTTCTGCCTCTGAATCAAAGCAAGCCGACTAGCTTTCAAAGCTTGAACTGAATTGGTTTTGAACAATGACAAGGTGAGGCCACATTGGGCAAGAGCAAAAACTATCACTTTCAAAAACCATCAAAACAACAAAGCAAGGTGACTGTAAAGGTTACGTTTTCTGTATCATCACACATAATGTGCCTACGCCTCTATAATGTGTAACAACGAGAGCAAAGGGATGGTGCTATTTTGCTAAGTAAGGCACATTTTTGTCAATCCATCCTAAAACAGAATAACAGCTGGCCATACACAAACAATAGAAGGATCAGATACAGAGCGAGTGTTCCTTTAAGGGCCATTCTCATTGAAGTTCTTGATATGGTGTTAAGGAATGACTGGTAAAAATTAATTCGACTTGAGGCTCCTGGGAGAGAGACAGGAAAGGTGACATAGCACCAGGGCATCCTCAGATGGTGGACTTTGAGAAGGACACTCTCAGGCGGTGGCCACGGCCCATGTCATAATTGTGAAGGTCGATGAGTGTCTGAATCGCCTCCTCCACTGTGGACATCTGCAGCAGAGCCATTTTGCGATCTCTAGAAAGTAAAAAAAAAAAAAAAACATGACGGTCAAAGCGACAACCTTGAATGTACATAAAAATGACTAAGAAATGGAATGCAGTGGGTTCTTACTGGAAAAACTTGAACGCTTTCACTGTACCACCGGAGTTTGAGAAGAGCAGTCGTAAATCCTCCTCTGTCACATTCTCACTGGAGGGGAAACAAGCAGTTATTAGCATTTCCTCAGAGTAAATGGTAAAATGCTATCATGATGCATGAACCAATAAAAAAGGAAAACAAATTTTCCTTGGTAGCCACATTTTAATCTCAGACTTGAACTGAAAGACACTGCAAGGGAAAAAACTGACAATTAATTTAAAAAGATGGTCAGCATTTGGTCCAAGATTTATGATTCCAGAATAATACACATGTATTAATAAAATGGCAAAACCTAGAGAAAAATCACCACTAGCATTCATTAGGACTGTACAAATCTGCACAGCTGCACAAATATACACAAATCTGATGTTCTCCGGAGGTTGGAAGCAACGTGGGATAAAAGAAAAAAAAAAGTTGGAAGGGGGGACAAAAATAATATACAGGTCAGTACATAGGAAATGCAAGAGTTTGGTCAGAAAATGGCAGGGTTGTCTTTTTTTTTTGCTTCCCCCGACTATGTTTAACAGTGCCAAACGTAGTCACCCGAGACCGAACGTGGGCAGGGCACATTTACTCAGACTAACTGCAGCACAGAAACACTGTGAGGAGGACAAAGCATGCAGAGCGCGTGGAAGGTTTTGGTATGAGAAAGCATTTAGGAAGAAAAAAACAAACAAACAAAAGATCAGCCTATAGCTGTAAAGGGGTGGGGCCATGCAGCGGGTAGGCATGAAAACCACCTTGCAGAGTTGTGGCATCAATAGAGAGCACGGCATGTCGACATGTAGAAAACTCCACAAATCCACAAGTGTTTGGGAAAACAAAAACCATGATGGGGAAATTACTGGGACACTTCAAAAAGACAAAATCAAAGTGAGAAAGAGTGTGAGAGAAATGAGAGGTGGGTGGGGCTACCATGTTTCATACCAACTTTGAATAGCTTAGAGAGAGGCAGTGGAGCATCAGGAGAGGAAGAGAGAGATACAGCTTAGAGAAAAGACAGTTAGATATTACTTCCAGACAGAGTGCTCGTGAAAAGGTGTGAGGGAGAGAGAGAGAGAGCCAGAGAGAGGGGAGAGGGGGAGAGATAAAGAGAGAGGAGAGACAGTGATCAAAATTTGCACAGAGGAGAGACTGCAGAAAGACCCTCCATTTTGACGAAAACCTTACTGAGAATGCTTTCAGTATATTTCTGCAAGTATAAATGTCACAATAGAGAACAAAGAGCTACAGGTTTTAATTCATTACTAGTCACTATCAATTCACTGTCAACTGCAAATATACTGAAATAACATTGAACATAATATATGAAATGCACTGAGGATGGAAATGAGACACAGGTCAATCTGAACTCATGTCAAGACAAGTCACCTGCTCATTGTTCATTTTGTGTGACTGAATACATCATTCTCAATCTAATGCACATTAGAAAAGTGACTGAAATAACTTTGAAATCAGCTTTAAAGTGGAAGTCAGTCAAGTTTACATTTTTTAGTAAACTGATTTCCACTTTGATTAAAAAACTTATAACAAACATGATTAATGTAACCATTTCAAAGAAAAAAGGATGTTTTGTTATAGCTTTTGCTGCAAGGGTGCCGCCATCTTGCACAGTGTGACGTCACAGAGTTGGTTTGCTTCGTTGAAGAGTGAAGTAATATAAGCATTTCCTTACTTTTTGAACACACAAATGTTTATTTTAATTGGATGAATATCAAACATCAAACTGTCTAAATTAGTGTTGGGTGATATGGTCATTTATCAAGTCATTTATGGATCGACGATACACAATATTATCGTGCATGGGTGGGTGGGGCAAGAGAGAGACTCTCTGTTCTTGTCATAGGCTATTTCATAACCATTTGGTGTTTTAAAGTGAAAAAAAGTGAAGTGACGTTGTTGCCAAGTATGGGGACCCATACTCAGAATTTGTGCTCTGCATTTAACCCATCCAAGTGCACACACACAGTAATGAACACACAACCGGAGCAGTGACAGGCAATGCTGCAGCGCCTTGGGGGTTCTGTGCCTTGGTCAAGGGTCTCACCTCAGTCGTGGTATTGAGGGTGGAAGAGAGCACTGGTTATTCACTCCCCCCACCTACAATCCCTGCCGGCCCTAAGACTCGAACCCGCAACCTTTGGGTTACAAGTCCGACTCTCTAACCATTAGGCCACGACTGCCCACAATTAAATACAAAACCAAAACAAAATAAATGCGCGAGAGTGAGCCTATGGAAGCACCAATAATCGAAATAATATACTAATTCCGCGGGAAAACCGCGGACTTGGCAACACTGATTATGAGCCCGACGCACCACCACAGAAACAAGAATGAGATGCGTTCTAACATAACAGTGGCATTTAACTCAAGTTAGTGGGGGCTCAGTTAAATTATTGCACATATATAGGCTGTTCAGATTACTTTTGAAAGTGCAATGAAATACCTTATATCAGTGTTTCCCAACCTTTTTTTAGTCGCGGCACCCTTTGGAA